GCTTCCATGGTTTTTGCTCTATTGATCTAAAAGGCAGAATTGAAAATTTAATATCATAGTTTTTTTCTTGCAGAAACCTGTAAGTGCCCACAGCGCTTAGACCAGCAACATTTGTGAATCTGTGTTCATGGGAGGGCATATATCTTTGAAACATTCTCTGACTCATGTCCAAAGATAAAATTTCTAGCTTCATTGTGCAAATATAATTTCATTATGAAACTGGAAGGGAATGTAGACCTTTTAATTCACAAAGAAAATATTAATACATGTTTTTTGTGTTCTACTTGTAATCTGCAGTCCTAAAATCTCCATATAAAACAATATGCATGGTTAAACCAATGTATAATCTTGACTACCAGCAATTTATCCCCCAAAACATAGTGCAAATCAGATAAGACAGAGAAATTACTTTTGTTTAAACAAAAAAGATCCCAAGAATCATCTACTTTGTTTTTTCAACTTTGCATCCATTGACTCTGTCTCTAGACTTCCTGTGGCGAACTGCCAAGCATTGAGTTGGTCAATTTCATTAAGTCAAAGCAAAAGTAACAGTCAAGGCTATGTTCACTTACAGCAGTAGAATAAGAAAGAGGCCAGAGAAGAAAGTATTGCTGGTTCCCTACTGTCCCATTTTCCCTATGGGATAGCACTAGACAAGAATCAGGGACCATCAGTGCAGATGGGAAAAAGTGTCTCATTAGAAAGGGTTCCTGTCATTTAATAAATTAGGAGGAGAAGTGAGATGATACAAGGAAGAACTAGGAATTAAAAAGTAGTGTAGAGAGTTTTAGTCAAGATTTTCCCCTAAAAAAAAAAAAAGCCTCAGCAAAGTTGACCGAAAACATCTCAGCTGAGCTCCTATACAAGAAGGCCACCAAGAGAAAGTTCCTGGGCTAAGAGTGCAGATGTGCATATGAGCGTGGCTGCCTGAAGGTGAGACTGAGTCCTGGACTGCAACTCCCTCCAGAAACCACGAAGTACGACCTTTCATGAATAGCTTTCTCCTGTGAGACCTGCTAGACAAAGCCTTTATGATTTCCTATGCTATAAACTCACACATAGGATGTTTATCTAGAGTCAGTCTCCTCATTACCTTGCCATTGTTGAGAAATATCCCATCCACTGAGATATAACAAATGTAAGGGACAAGAATATGGTGATTCAATATAGGTTTGTACTCCTCATGACTACTTTCTGTCACCAAGAAAAACAACCCAATCCTTATCCTTGCATATATAAGCTTGGATTAATGCTAGAGGGAAGTAGTATGGAACCTGTAGCCAATATTCTTCAGCTCAACTCACATTACTTATTGACCCAATGGGGTTAAAAGCAGGATTATAGTCAAGGAGAAGTCTTGCCTTCTCTCATGGTGGAGGAGGCCAAAGGAACTGAAAAAAAAAAGTCCTATTCTCAGGTTCTTGGGGAAGTAAGCCTATTTTTTATTGCTACTCTCTTGTGTCCTACTGAGACCAATGAATACGTGTTTTTAGTTATTCAAAGATTTTATCAATTTGCCATCTTTTCTCTCAGAATTCTCTGAAAAAAAGGCCAAATTAATACATTAATTGCTTTGAACACAAGATTGCAGAACACAATGGACTGGAAAGACGAAATTATTCTATATATCATCACTTGGGCTCTACCAGTGTGTATCACATTGCTAATGTTGTAGAGTTGTATGGCAACAATGTTATGATAGTATGACCTAAGCTGAAAGTGATCAAAATTTTTTACAAATTGAAATGAACATGAAATGAACAAAATTACCTGCTAAACTTTTAAATGGAAAACAAAACCCAACAAACCATCTGCCATAATCGGATCAATGTTTTTTTTTTGAGTTGGAGTCTCACTCTGTCATCCAGACTGGAGTGCAGTGGCCGCTCTCGGCCACCGCAGCCTTGATCTGCTGGGCTCCGACGATCCTTCCGCCTCAGCCTTCCAAGTAGCTGGAACCACAGGCGCGCGCTACCACGCCTGGCTGATTTTTTTATTTATTGTGGAGATGAGGTCTCACCAAGTTTCCCAGGTGGGTCTTGAACCTGCAGGCTCAGGCAATCCACTTACCTCAGCCTCCCAAGGTGCGGGATTACAGGCTGAGCCACTGAGCCTGGCCAGATCAATTTTATTTTACAAAGATAAAATACTTTTTCCAAATATGTATATATTACCTATAATTTTTATTAATGTTTCCTTCAGTTCTACCAAGTTTCTACTGGGGTATTGCGATGAATCCCATTGCTTTTTTTAGTAGCTGCATTCTCTGTACCCTTTCACTGAATGAGTTTAGTTGGAAAGTTGATTATTCAAATTCTAAGTCTCTTAAGTTTCAGTTTTGCAAGTTCCAGAGGGTCAAGAGGATACATAAGAATATCCAGAGTTGTTTTTTTTCAATGTAAAAGCAAATTCACAGACCTTCCAAAAATGTGTGTCTTGCAATATGAGCACCAACTTTATTTTACAATAGTTTTTTTCCAAGCAAATAAACTCAATATCCAATGATTAACTACTATCAGATTTAGGAAGGTATTGAATAGAAAAAATGATATAAAAGACAGAGACAGACAGACAGACACAGATACACAGATACACTCACACATACACACATACACACATACACTCACACACACAGAGGGAGGGGTGGGAGAGAGAGAGAGAGAAAGAGAGAATATCTATTGATTACAATTTTGCCAGGATATCCATTTAGTTTACTTGCAAAGAAATAATATATGCAAATTAAATCATGCTTCTTTCTAGAATGCCTTTATTCCTTTCAGGCTTCCTCTCACGAAATATTTCTCTCTCATTAATTTAAGACAGAGAATTCAAGTTAATTAATTTCTTTTCTTTTTTTTTTTTTTTTTTTGAGTTGGAGTCTCACCCTGTTGCCCAGACTGGAGTGCAGTGGCACGCTACTGGCCACCACAGCCCCGACCTGCTGGGCTCCGGCAATCCTTCCACCTCAGCCTTCCAAGTAGCTGAAACTACAGGCACACACTACCACACCTGGCTAGTTTTTTGAATTATTGTAGAGATGAGGGCTCGCCAAGTTGCCCAGGTGGGTCTCAAACCCACAGGCTCAGGCAATACACTCACCTCAACCTCCCTAAGCACAGGATTACAGGCTGAGCCACCAAGCCCGGCTAGGTTAATTAATTTCTTTTCTTTTTTTGGGAGTTGGAGTCTCACGCTGTCGCCCAGCCTGGAGTACAGTGGTCGCTCCCAGCCACCGCAGCCTCGACCCTCTGGGCTCCGGCGATCCTTCCGCCTCAGCCTTCCAAGTAGCTGGAATTACAGGCACGTGCCACCACGCCCAGCTCATTTTTTTTATTTATTGTAGAAATGAGGTCTTGCCAAGTTGCCCAGGCGGGTCTCGAATCCGCGGGCTCAGGCAATCCACTCACCTCAGCCTCCCAAAGCGCGGGATTACAGGCCGAGCCACCGAGCCTGGCTAGGTTAATTAATTTCTAGATAAAAGTTATTTCTTGTGACTTTTGAGAAACCATATATGGCACCTCAGATAGAATCAATATGTCCTCAAATATGTTTTCATCTAAACTTTTGCCTTTATTAAAATGTGAATTTACAATGTCTTGAGTACATTTTATTTTCTTAACAGATGTCTTACAAAGTTAAGGGATTTGTGTAGCAACAAACTTCTCATCTGGAACTCTGGATATAGAGACTACAGTGGCACAATATGCTAAGAGCTCAGAGGAAAATAAATGTGGTCCCATAATTTTATACATGAATGAATGATTGCTACATGGAGGATAAATAAATTGTATTTGAATATTCAAATTTGGATTATTCTTTGCAGCTGTTGTACAAACTATGTTAACTTAAAAAAAAAGATGGAAATGTAATCAGAAGATGAGAAGTTAGAAATAGTGAACCAAAAAATAAAAAATAACTAAGACATCTTAATCATTATGATATTTTATTTTCCTTAAAGTTTTAGGACATGCCTGGGGGGAAAGGAAATGCAACTCATAACAGCCTTTGTGATCTCTGCTTTTTCTAAAGGGACTTTGTAAGAACACAATATTTAAATAAGAAATAGGAAACTGGAGGGGAAGGAGGAGAAAGAGGGGAAAAGATAGGGTGTAGGTAATTGGGGCAAATAGTTTCCATTCTTGTGAAAGCTTTTGATTTGCACTCAGTGATCTTGCATTTTACAAATGAAAGTGGTGGGTAGAGGAACAGTCAATTATGTGTTAACAGGGGCTGAGTAAATCTGTATTTTACATTAGATAACACAGATCTGGAACCATTGAGTGGAGGGAGCGCCAACAGAACTCTGCTTCAAGGCTTGTCCATGGGGGATATATGAATTCTGCAAGAGTTGGGGGCCCATAAGGAATTTCCTTGTGAGTAACTTGTAAGGCCATCTAAGGATGACCACTGTGGCAGACATCCATCTGGAACAGAAAGGAGGTAGGTTTTGTGCAGGTGACTCAGTTCCCAAACTCAACTTTCCCCTTGACATAGTGAGTTTGGGGTCCCCATATCCTGTTTTCTTTCACTGGGGAATAAATGGATTAAAACCAATAATCTACATGGCAAAATGAAAGTAACTCTGTGACAGTAGAAATAAATATATCAGTAATTAAATGTCATGTTTATCAATTATTAAGCATGTTGTTAAAGTTAAAATACCCAGCAAGGCCTCCAAAATGTTAAGTCAAAAGTCTCCCAGTGGGGACTCCAAAATGTTAGGTCAGGTCTGATGTGAGGGTGTCTGGTCTGTGATTCGGTGCTATGTGAAAGATGCAAAGAATTGCACAGAAGTTAGATTGGGAAAAATAGTGTATTTAGAAAGTAAATTAGAGAGAGAGAAAGAGATTGATCCACTATCCCAAGGTAGGGGAGGGGGCCAAAGCTAGGAAACACGGCGGTTACCATAGCCCAAAAAGCACATGGTTACACCAGAGTTTAGTAAACCAATGACAAATGTCTGCTTCAGGTTGACTCCTTTTAAACTTTCCCTATGATAGGGGCAGGTCATTAAGGTGATTGGGTGGTGGTCTGTTCCACATCACCATGAAGAGCAGGTAAGCACAGGTACCGATATCAGGTTATAGTTGGCAGGCAGATGGGTGGGATGCTGCCATGGTGATGGGGTCTGTGTCTTAAAGGTCATGAAGAGCTGATTAGGTTAACTTGTTTACAAAACAAGCTGGGGAGGGGATTGTAAAGCAATTTTCAGTAGCCACCTCAGAGAAACTGGTTCTGTCCTTGGCTAGTGATTAGAGTATAAATTAAAGTGAACTGCTAGAACAACATGAAAGAGCTCAGCAATGTTAAAGAGGCTGCTCATTGGATATATTGACTCCATGTTATGTCCCTTCACATGTGAAATATGGTAATGTTTTGTGATTCTAAATGTCTCAAAATGGAGTCACTTATGGTAAGTGACTCAGCTTACACGGAAATTGCTTATCCCTCAGAGTGATAAGCCCATATATAGGGGGCTGAGGTGGTAAGACTTGCTATGGCAAGGCACTTCTGATACCTGACAAGAAAGTGAAACCAAAAGGCAATTGAAGATAATGACTATGTACACTCCTTCAAAGGGTCATAAAAACTGCAAAGAAACTGACCATGGCCTCAATGCTTGCAGAAACTGCCCGTGAGAACCCTAAGTCCTTTCCTTTGGCAGCAGCCCCTGGAAGCTCCTCTGTGCTTTTGTGAGGAAAATCGGACCTGCAATTGGTCAGTCAGTGTGCTGGTTTCCAGAGCTACTCATTGTGATCCTTCCTCCTTTCTCTTATTAGTGCCTGTGTATGTTGCATAATTTGCATGATTGCTGGTATGTGAAAACCTTGCAACAAACCATTAAACTATGAATTGTAAGCATTTAATTGGCCACTAATTGTGAAACCACCCAGCACCCCTTCCCCCATTGGAGTTACCACAACAATGCAGATTCGAATGATATTAGAGTAGGTCAGAAGAAAACTACTCTCAAATTTATGATGCTTACAGCAGACTTAACTAAATCATAGTGATAAGGAGAAGTCAAAAGTGCAGGGATGCAAGGACAAAAACTATGCAAATTCTACCAAAAGAAATATGGAAAGATATTAATATTATCAAAAATAATTTAAAAGAATATTAAAAATAAAAAATTCACCCACAAAATAACCATATGCCAAAACCCTAAAAATGAGTGCATAGTACACATATATTAATACTGCACTCTTAAATCTATAAAGAAAACATTTAAGGAAATGCAAATAAAAATATACAATTTTATAATCTGTAATCCAAAAATTAAATTGTAAGCCCCCAACCAACTGAACAGACCCCCTCTGGGCCAAGGGAAGCCTGAAAATCTAAATCTTAGGCCATGATGGAAGAGAAGTTTGAACACTCCTCATTCTATTCTCTTCCTTGTAGAATTTTAGGCACAAGTGACTAGCATTAACAGTAAAATAAGGATCAAAAGACTCACAAGACAGACGCTGTGGTGATAAGATGCCTGACTCTTGTTTAGCATCACATGACAGATAGCAGATCCTACAGAAAATAAAAATATCTTATCCCCAAATATGTTTCTTAGACATATTTTGAAATGACCCTGCAAAGTAATCTCTTGGGAAAAGTGAGTGGAGAATCTTTTAAGATATACACCATCCATTTTCTCTGAATTCTACTACTTAGAGGTTTCATCTACTTAATAAGAACCTTGGTTTCCACAATCCCCTTTATCTTAACTCAAGCATTTCTTTCCCCAATTTCAAATTCTTTAGACAGAGCTTACCACTTTCTACCAATTGCCAATTAGAAAGTCTTTGAATTCATCAATTATCTGTTAACCTCCATTTTAAGTTGTTTCACTTTTCTGGGCTTAACCAATGTAAACCTGATATGTAATGATGTATGTTTTTCCCCTGTAATTTGTTTCCCTAAAAATTTATAAAACAGCTATAATTCATCCTCCTTAAGCACATGTTCTCAGGACCTTTGGGGACTGTACCTCGAGCCTTAGTCACTCATTTTTGACTCAGAACAAATCTTGTTAAATATTTTAGAGTTTGGCTTTTTCAACAACAAAACGTTTAGTGAGATTTTAATATGTCCCTTTTGGGAATCAGCTGATCAAACAATAGTTCTTACTGCTTAGGTTCTTAATGATGATAGCCTGATTTAATATTTGTGTAGCAGCTAGCATAGGGCCTTGTACTGAAGCAATATTATTTATAAAATAAGAATAAAATAGGACATATATGGCAGGGTGGGGCAAGGAGAAGCCAAACGAAAGCATGCCAGAAATTTCCCTGACTCAGGCTCAACAGATTCTTACAGCAAATAAGAGTCAGGGGAGGTTTCAGACTAGTTTGATAGAAAGCAGGTGTGATCAGTATTGGGAAAGATGCCTGGTCCAGTGCTGCGTATGAAAGAGTAGTTTGCAAAAATCCTTCTAAGTACCACTACATGAAAGTCTGCCTAGAATTTCAAGATCATGGAGCTGGACTGAATGCTGCACAGTTCAAACAGCTGCTTATTTCAGCACTGAAAGACCTGTTTGGGGAGGTCGATGCTGCCTTCCCCTTGGATGTCCTAACCTATGAAGAGAAGAACTTGTCGGCCATCTTGAGAATATGTAGCAGTGGTCTCGTCAAATTGTGGAGCTCTTTCACCCTATTAGGATCCTATAAAGGCAAAAAATGTGCTTTCAGAGTGATTCAGGTTTCTTTATTTCTCCTTGCATTATCTGGTAATAGTAGGGAACTAGTACCGGATTAAATGAATCATCTTCAATTTCAGAAACACCATGAAGAGACCAAAAAATACTCCTGAGAGTTGAGGAATATTTGAAGACTGAAGCAAGCCAGAAGCTTCTGTTGATGAAATTTTTAAGTGGTGAAGATGTTCCCAATCGTTTCCAGCCATCGCCTTTGGTGGGGTGGACTTTAGAGGAGAGTCTGCCTGAACCAGCCAGTGCTGAACTGGCAGCACTTTGAGCATATGCACATCAGAGTTGGAGACTGGGCTGAACTTAGCAGGGTCTTCAAGCAGAGGAATGTGACTACCTTCCCAGAATTAGCAGGGGATGCTATTCCTTTGCATTTAAATGAAGACTTTGCAAAACACATCAAGTTTGGAAAGACAGTTGTACATGAAGTTTTGATCAATGGATTTATCTCACCTCTCCTAGGTACTAAAATGCCAGGCTGTGTATTAGTTTCCCAGGAAATTAAGTTTCCAGCCCCTTTATATATTGGAGAAGTTGTTTTAGCTTCTGCAGAAGTGAAAAGGCTGAAGTAGTTCATTGCTATTATTTCAGTGTCATGTTCTGTAATAGAAAGTAAAATGACTGTTATGGAAGGCTGGGTTAAAATTATTGTTCCAGAAGCTCCCAAATCCTGAAATTCTTGTTTAAAGATACAATAAATAAATAAATAAATAAAATTATACGTGTAAAAATATTCTTGAAAATTACTATCAGGGTAAATTAAATTCAAAACAATGAACTTCATTTTACCACTACTAGACTAGAAAATATTCAAAAGCATCAAGTTTTAATGATTTGGGGGGGATAAATGGGAACCCATGCATTGCTTATCTAAGAATAAATTATTACAAACAACTTGAGGATAAAAGTGTCAATAATTAATACAAAATACCATGCTATGAAAAACAAATTACATTTTTGTGTTTCCACTAATTGGACTAGGTACTTATTACAGATCTGAGAGAAATGATAAATAAGAGAGAAAAAAATTATTATTTTTCAAGATAGAAATAAAATTTAATAAATAAATGAGTAGATTTTCTTGCTTTACCACGAATATGTTTTAAAGAAATAATGTTGGGTAAACACAAATACATCTTTAAAAGAATAACTAAAGTTTATAATAGTGATATAAATTTGAAATGATAGAAAACAGTGAGATAGATATATAATATCTATTAAATATACATATGCATGTATACACACACACAATAACCACAAAAACATGCACACCAAATTCCAGATAGTTGTGTCTGGGAAAGAAAATTTGGAGAAGAAATTGTTGTTGAATACTGGGCTGAATTCACAGCAATTTAATACTGTAAACAAAGATATATGAAGCACAATGTAGTCTCCACTTAATTTTGTTGGTTGTTGAACAGTTTTATATTATACATTGAAGAGCATTTGGTTGAGAAAGTGTACAGAATTTTGGTAAAAACAGTGGGAGTCTGTCTATGGTATTTTAGACTTCAGTTCCTTCCAGCTCCCATCCTGGCCCCTCTCCCCAACTCCATGGCACAAAAGTTTTAACTCAGGAGAGAAGTGTAAGCTGTGAAGATTGACACCTCCATTGCTTTGCCAGAGAAGTCTATCTTTATTTGAAGCAGACCATGAAAAAATCCAGGGATGTTGAAGAAAATACGGATCTCCAGGGAAAATAATTAAGTGAAAGCTAACATCTTGGCTATATTAATCTTGACAATCAACAAAATAGCAGAACAGTCAGAAACTTAACAGAAATTCATAGAAAGTGACATCTGAAGAGGGCCTTGCTAAGATTCCATTTATTTCTGGTGGTACAGAAGACTGAGCATATAAGTATGTGTTTTGTGTAAGAAGGGGTCAGAATTCAGATTCGCTATAACATATTATATAAGTTGTCAGGCTTCAATAAACAACTAAGAGGCATACAAAGAAATAGGAAAGTGTGACATAAGCATAGGGATAAAAAGTAGGCAAAAGAAATTATTATTTTCTGTTTGTAATGTCAGAGATTTTACATTTTAACAAAACATTCAAAAACTCATAAACTGGAGTAAGCTCTTTCAGGTCTCCTCCCACTGTGGGAACTTTTCTGTCTTCTTAATAAATCCTACTTCCTCACCCAAAAATAAAAAATAAAATAAATCATAAACTGGCAGAACTCTCATATAAGTTAGTTTCAAGATCGAGGATTTTTGTTTTCTGAGGTTAGAAATAATGTAAAGATACAAAGTAAAGAGTATGAGAACAGTACAGTGAAGATGATTTAAGCTTAAAATTTTAAATTAATGCAGTCTGTTGAAAGAATTTAGCTATATTTTAAGTCAAAAGTATGGATCAGATTATGAGAATAACTTCTTAGATACTGTGTATATACTCTCACACATTCCTATTTGTAGAGTCAGAAGAGTCACTTATCTCTCTAAATCGCTTGTCAGGGATAATTTGACAACTCAATACCTTGTGCTGCTTTTGATACCATTGAAGGTATTATCATTAAACATCCTGGTTGTGCCATCCCAACCCCCCAATTTTATTTCATTAAGTGGTAACTTGGATGCAAAAAGACAAAAACACTATTTTCAAAAAAACTGAAATAAACTCCCTATTAATCCAATCAGCCCTTGAGCATTCTCAGTTTGTTAGGCTATCTAAACATGCCTAGTCAGATAGTAACTATGACTCGACTACTGATTGTATTCTTCACTCTGCTCCCATGTTTTCAGTTTGTGAACTATACTGCAATTACTCATCATAAACGAAGTATCAATGATAGCAATGATAATAGTCCTTCCTTCTTTCCTTCCTTTTCCTCTCTCTCTCTCCCCCTCCCTCCCTCCTTTTTCTTCTACTATTATTTCAGCAACTACTGCTAAACCTACTATAAAACTTACCACAGCTACTAAACTTAACAAAAGAATCCCAAAAATATTACCTAGGTGCTATCCTTCAACTTAAAAGTTATCTTTATTATTGGGTCTATGAGCAAACACAATGGACAGAGGAGGGTATTAACAAACATTTGTATGATTCACTACTCCATAATCTAATCTACAACTTCATTGTAATAATTTTGTTAGAGAATATCCATATATACTTAATGATGAATGTGTACAATATCATGGTAAATTTCAATCTCTTTACCCCTTCAATTTTAACTTAGATTTTATTGATACTACTAAAAATTTAAGTTCAGCAATTATTTATGTCCATCCAAGTTGTTGTTAAATTTCTATTAGAGCTTGCTGATGTATTCTGTTCTCTTCTCTAACCTCAGAAACATGCTATAAAGTTAATAGAGAATAAAAGACAGTTAAGCGAACGTGTATTTTTCCATTTTTATTGAGGTAAAAAAATATACAACCTATCATCTTAAGTATACAGTTTAGTTCAGTGATACTAAGTACATTCATTATGTTGTGCAACCATAACCACTATCTATCTCCCTAAGACTTTTCATCTTGTAAAACTAAACCTCTGAACCTATTCAATAATATTCCCCATTTTCTCCCCTCCCCTTAGGCCTGTGCAACCACCATTCTATTTTCTGCCTCCATGATTTGTACTATTCTAAGTACTTTATTAAAGTGAAATCATAAAGTATGTGTCTTTTTGATTGACTGGCTTATTTCACTTAGCATAATGTCCTTAACTTTCATCCATATTGGGGAATATGTCAGATTTTTCTTCTTCTTTAAGGCTGTATTTATTCTGTTGTATGTACATATAACATTTACTTATCCATTCATCCATCATTAGACACTTGCTTTGCTTCCATGTTCCACAGTAGTTAATGCTGTGAATAATGTTGCTATAAATATGGATGTACAAATATCTCTTTGAGACTTTGCTATTAATTCTTTATATATGTACCCATAAATGGAATTTCTGGATCATAAGTAATTCTATTCTAAATTACTTAAGGAACCAATAAACTATCTTCTATAGCAGTTGCATCATTTTACATTGTCACCTAGAAGGTAAAAGAGTTTCAATTTCTTCACTTACTCACCAACACTTGTTCTTTTCTTTTTATATATAAATATTAGCCAGCCAAGTAACTGTGAAGTATTATCTTATTATAATTTTCATTTGCACTTCCCTAGTGATTAGCTATGTGGAACATCATTTCATGTGCTTATTGGCCTCTTGTAAATTTTCTTTGGAATAATGTCTATTCATGCCCTTTGACCACTTTTGAATAGTGTTGCTTGTTTTTGTTGTTGAGTTGTAGAAGTTCTGTATTCATTTTGGATATTAATCCTTTGTAAGATATATGCAAATATTTTCCCCATTCTGTGGATCATCTTTTTACTCTATTGATAGTGACTTTTGGTGCACAAAATTTTTATAATTTTTAAGTCCAATTTATCTTTTTCTTTTGTTGCCTATCTTTAGTGTCATAACTAAGAAATTACTGTTAAATCCAATGCTGTAAAGCTTTGGTCCTCTTTATACTTGTATGAGTTTTATAGGCTTAGGTCTTGCATTTAGATCTTTGATCCATTTTGAACTAATTTATGTGCTAGGTAAGTGTCCAACTTCATTCTTTTGTATGTGGCTATCCAATTTTCTCAGCATTATTTGTTAAAGATTTCTTTCCTTATTGAATGGTACTTTGTTGAAATTATTTTTACCATAAATATGAAGGATTACTTCTGGGTTCCCTATTCTATTCCGTGGTCTATATATCTGTCTTTATACTAGTACCACAGTTTTCATCACTGTAGCTTTTTTGTAAGTTTTGAAATCATAAGGTGTGAGTCCTTCAACTTTGTTATTCTTTTACAAAATTGTTTTGGCTACTTGTGGTCTCTTAAAATTCCATATAATTTTAGGGTGTATTTTTCTATTTCAAAAAAAAAAAACCACACAGATATTTAATAGGGATTGCATTGAATCTGTAGATCCCTTTGGGTAAGTATTAACATCTTAACAGTATTACGTTTTCTAATCCATCAACATGGAATGTCCTTCTATTTATTTATGTCTTCCTTCATTTTATTTAGCAGTGCTTTGTAGTTTTCATTGCACAAGTCTTTCACACCTTC